AGAAAGAGAGAGAGAGAGAGAGAGAGAGAGAGAGAGAGAGAGAGAGAGAGAGAGAAAGAGATGAGGACATGGGAGGGCCTTGCTGGTATAGCAGAGGTGGTGGAAAGAAATTTTTGTTCTAATTGGTAGAACAGAGTCTTCTTATTTAAAATCACTCCTTGGTGAACTGAGGAGAAAGAATGATGAGATCCTTGAATGCTTTACTAGTGATCCTGTGGCTTCAATTGATCTGTGAGTTGGGCATTCCTACGGGAACATAAAGTACAGTGTTGGAAGTTTTGTCTGTTCCAGGCCTATGAATAGAGACATGAAGATTTTTACCTTCTCATTGAGGGAAGTTGTGAGGCCTGTGAAAGGATAATTTAGGTTCTTTGTCTGACCATTGTCTTTCTGCACAGGGGTGAGCAGCCAACAAAAAGAGGTGGAGCAGCATCCGGAATCCCTCAGTGTTCCAGAAGGAGCCATGGCTTCTCTCAACTGCACTTACAGAGACAGTGCTTCTCAGAACTTCGGGTGGTACAGACAGTATCCTGGGAAAGGCCTCAAGCTGCTGGTGTCCACATTCTCCAGTGGCAACAAAGACGAAGGAAGATACACAGCACATCTTAATAAAGCCAGCCGGTATTTTTCCCTGCATATCAGAGGCTCCCAGCCCAGTGACTCAGCCACCTACCTCTGCGCAGTGAGCACACAGTGCTCCCCAGACACCTGCAGCCTGCACCAAAACCTATGGGGACTCCTGCAGGGCCTGAGGCAGAGTACAGACCATAGGGCAGAGAAATTCTGTTGTGCCATGGAAATCAAGAGCAGTAGCAGGAATGGTTTCATTGACTGGGGAAGTGTTTTGATGTTCTGAATTTTCTCGAAGGGAAATTAAAAATGGAATATTGGTCTGATTGGAATACTTTCTAGTTTTCCCTTTCATTCCAATTTAAAAATTTGTATTGAGATATGCACAAAAATGATGTACACATTTAGTGTGTACATCTTGAGGAATTTAAAGATAAAGTAACTACCTGTGAAACTGTCATCATATACAATATTCACATAAATATTACTCCTAAAAATTTCCTTCCTCTTTCTTTTTTTAATATTGAAGTAGAATAGATATGCAAAAAGGTACACATATTTAGTGCTTGACTTTGATGTACAATCCAGTTTAGTACAAGTTTATTCAAGGGGATTGCTTTTAGTATGCTTTTTATGCAGAAAATAAAATGTTTTAATATGTTAGGGATATTCCAGCAGTTGGTAATACACCTTGCTCTTTTCCATTCAGTATTTCAAGATATTTGATACCTTGAACCAGCAATAGAATGGCAATAAAAAAGAGAAATGGAAAGGGAAGAAATGAGTCACAAAAGATCTAATTTGAAAAACTCATTATAAATTATCTCATTTACAGATCTCCCACTGCATCTACACTCTCAGTTGAAATCTCACCCCTGGATTAGTTAAGGAAACATTTGATGGGTCGAAGAAAGTACTAGAGTCAGAGGGGAGAGCTGGTTAAAACAAAAAGCTCAGACCATTGCAGAAATAAAAAAATTAGAAAGGTTATAAAAATCAGAAAACAACAGCTGAGAAGTGCTGAAAATTCATGTCCTGAGACTTAATGCTATGCAGAGGAGAGTCCTGTTGAGGTGGGGAGCATTGTACATGACCACAGAGAGTGCCACCTCCCAGCAGGAGATGAAAACACAGTGACACCTGATTTCTTGGAAGGCTTTCTGAGAAGGGGTTTAATACAATTCAGACACAAGAGGCTTTGTTCTGGAGAATCAGGTCTGCCTGAATCAGCTATCATGACAACATGGTATTGAGAGTCTTTTGGTAAATTTTGTTGGGGAAAATTGGAAACACTGAAGAGATATCAATGTCCCCCTCCTTGACTCCTGGGCAGCATGGAATTGACAAGCCAGTAATGCCACGTTCAGGAAAAACATTTTCACCTTGATGGGAATAGACCTCATAATAGACATTAAGTTGAAATACAGGAAAAAAATTAAAGTCGCACTTACTTGGTCTAAGTCATAACGTTGCTCATGTAGTCCAGGAAGTCAGAAAAGCTTGGGCATGGGTAGTTAAGATTTCTGTTCAGTTTTGTTCACAAAGTTACTGAGAAAATGGATGCAACACAATCAAGATTTGTTTAAATTCTTGATCTGCAGAATTGGAGACTCTAAAGTGTTTCCAACTAATAGAGGAGAGATTGGGACAAGCAGAGTCAAAGAGCAGAAAGTTGTGTGGAAATCAAGACACATTTCAACTCCATTTTGATTGGGTGCCTTCTGGCATCATAGTTCTGTTGAAAGAACATCTATGATGTTACTAATGGGCCATGTGGACTTAGGCTGCTCTGTTTTATGTATTTTTTTCAGGATTAGTTTCAGAATGAAATGAGATAACACATTGTCTCATGATGTGCTCCTTAAAAGTAGAGCCTGGATTGGGAATTCTTTGCCCAGGATGTGAAGGAAAACAGGGAAATGTAAAGTATGGATGTGGGTCATCCTGAGTCTTAATTTAGCTTGACCGCAAGGGAACACTGGGACATGAATTGCACACAGAGTTGCTCTCTCCTAGCTTGAGGTAAAAGGGTTTGTCTAGTGATCTCTTGTGACTGAAGTCATTGACGTGATCTTTCTTGGGGTAATATTACTTGCTGGACAATGATGTCCATTCTTATTGATTGATGTCAGTTTTATGGAGATAGGGCAGCTGTGAGTCAAAAGCAGCCAACACTCACTAGCAGCTGGGTGTTGGCCATGCTGACCTGGGAAAGGGGAACACCAACACTGTCCACTGCTATCATGGAACTCTCCTGGCACATGAGCAATATTTGAAATTTTGATTTCATTATCCTCTCAATGGAGTAGATACAATGGTCTTACTGGTTTGAAGAGTTAAAATAATTTAAGTTAAAGCACTTTTAAGCAGGAAAGATTTAAAAAAACATAAGGAATTACTCTTCACAGTAATCTTAGAGGATATTGAGAATAGTGAGCAGGGAAAAAGTATTAGTATCTTAGATTTCTTGGGAATGATTCCATGATTGTGTCTGATATTTGTACCTAGGAGAAATGACTGATGATTCACAGTTGGTAATTTTGGGCTTCCCTGAAAGATAGAAAGAGATGTTATCATCTATATTTCTGAATGGATAGCTTTACTTCATTCTTAGTTTATACTAACAATGAAGTGCTAAGAGGACGAAGGGACTCCTTGTGTCCCTTTATGAGTGGGGCTGGCCAGCAATTCCCTCCTGTGGGCACACACATGAAATGGAAGGCTTCTTAGTAGGTGACAGAGCAGCAACTGGCAGTTTAGTGGCATCTCCTCCCCTAAACCTAGTGCCAGTTTGAAGATGGCTTAACTCTGCCTACTCCTCACACTGAAATCGTGTGAATTCCCACTTAGTTCATTGCAATGTAGTGAAAAATAATACCTGGAGCAAGGCCAGTTTCCTGTGCCTCTCACACCAGCACAGCTGCAGGAAGAAGGCTGTCAGTATATCTGTCTACATACTGACCACCAGATGATCCCCTTGTGTTCTTCCTCCCACCCTTCAACATACCTTCTCTCTTCTCAACCCAGAACCCCTCCAGGGTCCCAGTGACTAGGTTTTCTTCTGTCACATTTCCACTGAAGTGTTCTCACAGTTCTTTCTGGGTTAAACTTTTTCCCTCTCTATTTTATTCATTGACTGACTCACTTTTACTTTCCATGTTATGGATGTTTATATCTTTCTTTTAAAATTATTTTACTCTTATGGATTTAGGTCCATGCTGTTTATATTTCCAAATTTTACTCAGTGAAATTTTGGAGAGATGAGAGTACATGTGCTTAGTCAGACACTTTAAATCAGAAGCACACCCTAGTAATGCTACCAGTGGGTACTCTCAGATGACCCTGACTGAGAATAACTCAGGTCCTTGAGTCTGGGAACAAAGCATTGGTCAGAGACACAGATTGAAAGTCATAGTGCAATTTTATTGAAAGAGAAAGAAAAGTATGGATAGGAAGAAACACCACAAGATAGAATGTTAGGCTGTGACTGGATGGTTTAGAAGCCTGGATCTTTGTTCAAAGGGTGGGAAGAATCTGGGTCATCTTTGCAGGCATGGCTAGGGTGATTGACAAGTTTAACTGACAGGAAGATATTGTACCTATCCACAATCCATTCTGTTATAATTACACACATGAGATGCAGCCCACATGTATGAAGTTTTAAGTAGAGGGGTGTCTCAAAAGGTCATCTTAGGACAGGTTCCCCATCCCTCAGTGCATGCATGAGCTCTGTGATTTTCTCTTCTGCACAAACATCTTTTACCATAGTATGGTGGGTATTGAGTTGACCACAAAAAGGGGATTTCTAGAATGTTCCCAACCAGATGTTCAATGAAGGAGGAGGTCCTAGAAGGGACTTGGGACATGTCCTAGGCAGATTTTATGACATTTTATGTGGTCAGTCTCTACCTCTCTTGCCAACCTTTCCTGCCTGTTTCCTGTCTCAGTTACAACTTGAAAAATTTCATGCCCTCTCTATATAATGGATTTTACATAAGAAAGAAAACCCACAAACAGGATCAATACATAGATCAGAAGCCTAAGGGAGTAGTCTCCAGCTGACACATGTGGGTGGTTCACCTCTTCTTATTAGGTTGTGAATTTCCTTCTAGCTTCCAATGGCCTCTATGCTAAAATAAGTTGAATAGGAAGAGTTTTACTTTATTGTTCATAGAACAGCCTGCTCTTGTTTGCTTGGCCTGACTCTCAGCCAGTGTAATAGCTGAGTGCTTAGATATGTTGAGGGTCACTGTCAACCCTCTGCCATGTCTTCTATTCCTCCCACAAGTTACTATCAATTTCTGGTCTGCTGGTGTGCTCTTCCTACTTCATTGACTTCAGGAAGATTACTTTTAATGTTATATTTTTCTTTATTGTTATCACTCACCTTCACTTTCTCCATGGATGGACCACATCACATTCCTTTAGTGTGATACCCAATGATTTAGCATAATATATCTGTCAATTCTGGCCATTAACATTGGAACAGGACTCTCACTTTGCTAACTTCTTAAACATGTGGTACTTGGTGTGATTTTTCTTATATAACCTTATATTAATATCAAATATTGTTGACCTGGAATTCTCAACTGTCTCAACACAACAAACTATAGCCTTTATAGGTAGTGTTGATTGATTAATAAAGTGACATGTGTTCCTGGCTGATTTTTAGTATAAGTTCTGGTACTAATTCGTTTACTGAATTTAACAACAAATATAGAAACAATCCCTTTCCC